GTTGAAGGCGTAGCAAAGCCATCAGATGGGAAAGGGATTTCCCCCTTAACCTCTTTTTCGTGTTTTTGTCTGTTTATTTGAGGCTTTCCCCACCCTTTCCTACCCCCTCCTTCCTGAGAGGAAAAGTATCTTCTGGAGATGGTGTGGGTCCCCAGTTAAAAAACCCTGCATCCAGAGGCCAGCAGTCGGAAAAAGGCTGTAAGTGACTTCCCCCCTCATTTTATCAAGTAAGATAATTGCAATTCCTCAGGTAAAACGTATTTTCTTTTCAGGGGGTTGGTTGTAGTTTTTTCAAGTTTCCCCTGACCACTCCCAAAAACGTGTGGCAGACCCCCCCCCCCCCCCCCCTTTGAGAAGGATTTTTAAAAGAAAAGAAAACCCTGTGGGGAAAATTTGTAACAGTTTCCCTTTTGCGAAAAAACGAACCAAAAGGGACTAAGGAACCCCCCCTGTTTTATCTTGGATTTTCAAACCCAGGCTAAGGGCAAGTAACTTAACCCGTACTTTCCTTTAATTATTCTTTTCTGTGTCTTTTTTATTTTTTCATATAAATTATATTTTTGTGACATCCTTTGTAAATATTTTTTTGCATCTGTCTGACGCTTTTTTTTAATAATTTTCTTTCTGAAGTGTTAAACTGTTTCTAAGCGCTTACTTGCAAATTTACGAATCCCCGCCTTTTAAGAGACGCTACTGTTTGTTATACTCTGTATGCGGTCCCCGGGCCGGCTATAAGTCAATATTGCAACATTATAGTGTAAATTTGTAACGGGGGTTTCCCCCGTCTCCGACAAAATTTGGTGGTGGCAGTAGAGGGTTATTGCGAATTAACCCGACCCAGTAACAAAACGCATTTAGGGGGCAGGCACCGATTGTAGCCATTATGGGCAAAAACACTGTGCTGGGGGCGGCTGAGTGTGGCCTTGTTTCGCGCGTCACACCGCGGGGTTTTGTCGGCTGGTCCTTCAGTCCGAGTTTGGTGGAAGGTCTGGAGTCTGACGCCGTGGGGATGACGTATTACTGTTTGTCGCGGTCGTGCGATTGTCGCTGTGGGTGGCGGGGACCGTGGGGCCCTTTACAGAGTCCTCTCCAGAAAAAAAACGTTGGCCCCCCCATTCATCTCTGTCCTACCGTTTTTCAAAACTTTTACAATGTTGCACCCCTTAAAGGCCATCCCGGTTTTTCAAATTGGTTCATTTTCAAAACAACCTCTCTAGACTCCAGCTTTGCTGGAAAAGGGCCCACAACAGCTTCATCAGTATGGAAAGGGCCTTCCCATTTCCAAAGGAAGATTTCTATGTACAATTCTGGTATAGGATTGCATGGGGAAAGGGGGTTCTGAAAAAACTTCCCTTAAAGGTGAATTACATTTTAACATAGCAAAAAAAATTAAAAAAAAAAAAATACGTGAACGGGGAGGGGTTCTTTCAATGGGACTTTGAAGGTAACGTGGAAAAACTCAATATTTTCATTTCTATGTTTTGGAGACGCTTTAAAAGCTGTAGGGGGTTAGGAAACAGTAGTGCGGGTTTATGGGCAGTTGTCTGCGGACACGTATTATGGCATCATACATATTTCGGATGTGTATATGTTTCTTTTTAACTTTTACTTTTAGCTGGGCTTAACGCAACAGCAGCACCCCAATTGATTCATTCCAACTTTCTACTCATAGAAGGCTTTTAGGTAGTTTCTGGCATGCAACCTCCAGATTTTTCTTATCAAGGCGTAATAGGCACTGAATCTAGCGATGGCATAGTTAGTAGAGAGCAACCGCATCCAAGTACTAATTTTCAAGACAGCACTAAGTTCATCCGTTGTGTTCTAGCTCCTTAGATCTACCTACAGTAGCATCACTAGGGTTGGTGCCACATGGTGCGGGAATTACTATGGTGTCATTCCCCCCGGGGAGGTTGTAATGAATGGAAGGTATCAGGCTAGTAACATGTGGTGTATGGGGGTTGATGGATGGAATGTACCATGTGAGAGTATGTTGCTGGTGTGGTGATGATGAATTATTAATTATAATTTGTAAGCATTTGGTTGGTGTGGGAGTTTGGGGAGATGTGAATCATTGGATTGATACCTTGTTAGTATGTGGGGGGTGATGGATAGAATGTACATGTATATAGGGGGTATGATGGATTGGCCAGGCACATGTAGGCGGGTGATGAATGGAATGTACCTGTGAGTAGTTTCGGGGGTTGTGACAAAATTTTCTTGTAAAATGTGGGGGGGGGGTGTTAAAGGATTGTCCCTGTTAGTAGTGGGAGGTGTGGTGAATGTAATGCGTTATAGGGGGTATGAATGGTTGTGCCTGTCCCATGTAGGGGGGTGATTTTGGTTTTTACCATGGGGTTGTTTGGGGGGGGGATGAAATAAATAACTATGTAAGCCTGGGGGGGGGGGTTGATTAATGATTGTACCATGTTGTATGTGGGGGGGTGGATAGAAGTACGTTCAGTATTAGGGGTATGAAAGGTTTGTATCTTCCTATGTAGGGGGGTGAGGAGGGAATTACCTTTGGAGTATGTTGGGGGTGGTTGATGAAAATTATAACATGTAAGCAAGTGTGTGTGTTTGGGGATGACAAGGATTGTACCATGTTAGTATGTGGGGGGTGGGGGATAAAAATGTCCCATTCAGTTATAGGGGCTATAAATGGTTTGTGCCTGTCATTTTGTAGGCGGGGTGTGAATTGAATTACCATGTTTGATTGGGGTGGTTGAGAAATAAATATACTATGTAAGCATGTTTTGTGTTTTTGGGGGGGGGGGTGACTAATGGTTGAAACCATTTAATATGTGGGGGTGAGGGAAAATTTACCATGTCAGTATATAGGGGCTATAAATGGTTGTCCCGTGTCACTATGTAAGGGGGATGGATGGAATGTCCCATGTCAGTTGTTGGGTGCGAGAGGTGGTTTGGGCCCCAATCTTAGTGACGTCAGAGGGGGGATCGGGCAGATTGCTATCTCCCTCTGGTGGAAGTATACGGACCCACCATGACTTGCATCCCATCTCTCTCTGATGCCCAGACACAACTGCAGAAATCTTCATCCCATCCCTCTTCACACAAGAGCTGACCTCAAGTCATCTTTATGGGTGGCCCCTCTTTCCGGCTCCCCCCATGGGGTGAATGGGGGATAGACTGCGGAAATGACGGCTTTTCCCCGCCCGGGATCCGGGCTTCGAACACTGGAAAGGGATCAGCCCTCAAGGGGGGTCACCTGGGTTCAGTCCTGCGACCCACTAGTGTTGCCACTGTTTCAATAAGTATTTTTTAAGTGCAAGTGCCAGCTCCTGAATGGATACAGATTTGTAGTGGATATTTTAGGCACGGTTTATTATTATATTGTATTTGTAAATCTAATGGTTGATTGTACAGTAAGATTGGTAACATGTATGCATTAATGTAGAATTTCTTCTATTGTAAAGAACTGTTTTGCCATGACCACTTTGTTACATACAAGTATGTTAGGAATGGATCTGGCACAGCAATGGTGGGACTCACCGCCCTTTTGATCTGGACAGTACCAGGGATGGCCAGCGGCGTGCTCCCAACAGCAATCTGTAGACTCAACCTTTCAGCCAGCTCTGCCTTGGTGTTGTGTTTGTCCTGGGCCCTGTCCAGTTTCTGTCCTGCATCCTGTTTCTGTTCCTTCGCTGACCCTGATCTGGAATGCTGCTGACTTCTCCTGCTCTGATCCTGGCTTGTTGACCCTGACCATCACCCCTCTGTCTGACCCTCTGTACCTCGCTGTCCTTTGCTACCTGCTGAACCTGGCCTGTGACCCCCGACCATCTCTACTGCTTGCTCCCCCTGTACCTACCTGCCCCAATTGATATTGACCCGGCCTGCCTGACGACGGAGCTTGCTTGTATGTACTGTTATCTGTGGGTGGTTTGGTTTGGTTTGTTTTGCACTGTATTATGTTTAGTATTGCACTGCGTTTATGTTTGTATGGTTAGTGTTAATAATTATATTGTTTATAACATTTTATTCTGAAGTCTGCGTTTCCCTGCATTAGTTTCTCAGTCACACATACTCTGGTCATACCTGGGAGCCCTGACATTACACCAAGGCCTACATCCTGACCTGAGAAGTGGCTGCACAGGGAAAGCCATCTTGGCTTGTTGACTTGGAGGGAAGGATGGTCTCTGGATGAGGTTGAGTATTTATCATTGCTGGAAGTGTGTTGATGACAGGGAGTATGCTTATCCAAACTCTGAAGGAGTTAGTATACCAGCGGAGGTTGTTATTAATACATATGATTTGAACTGCCTAGATATGTATAACGGCTCAGCTCAATGTTGCTAGTAGATCAGGGCACAGTGTGTTCTCTGAGGTGCATCCCATTTGATTGAGGGTTTGTGCAGAGTTGGTTTCATTCTCTGTATCCCCCGAATGCAAGGGATGAATTTTTGCCACCCATTTAGTGCAGACCAGGTAGAGTCCCTGGTGTGGTTATTAGAGGATGATGTGGGTTACTTTCTGGAGCGTTATTCCACATGTTCACCACAGACACTAAGAGATTGTATAAACGCAGTGCAGTCATTGACCAGACAGGCTTTGTGTAAGCTCAGCGCTTTGTTCAACCCCATACTGCAGACATGGACAGACTTGTTGCAGGCACGCCCCAGCCTCAGTCAGCTTACAAAGACCCCAGTCCTGCTTCTATCTCTACTCCTGTATTCCCACCAGCTCCTCCTAACAGCCAGTATACTTGAGCTATCTACCGCATGTCAGTACCCTGTTCCCACTCGCTGCACCTATCCTGCCTTTAACCCTGTAAAAGAAGCCCTCTGTAGCAACTGCTCACTCTCCTTGTTCCATCCTCCAGTTCTTCTCTGTCTCCAGCTGCTCCATTCGTTTGCAGACCTGCGTTTTACTTGCAGTGCTCCAGTAGTTAAAACCAGAAAAAAGCGAAAATTCTTTCCAACCAATACCATCCTGCCAGTATCCAAACGCGGTGAACCTGCCTTCCTGTGACTCCTCAGCCTGAAGCCTCTACTCGGCCTGAAGCCTCATACTAAGCCTTGCCTCTAGCTAAGCTACTGCCTGAACTGCCTCTGCCTCAGGCCTCTACTCAGCCTCTGGTGCCTGATGCCTCTCTACTCGGCCTGAAGCCTCTTACTCGGCCTGATGCCTCTCCTGACCTCAGCCTGATGAAGCTGTAGCCTACAGCCTGAAGCCTCTTCGCGGTTGCAGCCTCTCTTCAGCCTGATGCCTCTCTTCAGCCTGGATGCCTCTACTCAGCCATGCCTTCACTCTTCGCCTGATAGCCTCTACTCTCAGCCTGATGCCTCTACTTCAGCAGTTGATGCCTCTGGATTCAGCATGCCTGCCGCTACTCAGCATGATGAACTGATCCAGCAACGACGATCCTATTAGGCCAGTTGACTCGATGGCCCGCTGTTGATCCAGATGATCCGGTACCTGATCCAGTGCCCGCTGTCGTGCCAATTGATCAGAGCCCGCTGTCATACCTGGTGACCCGGTGCCCACTTTTGCTCTTGCCAGATGACGCGGTGCCCGCTCTGGCAAAGAGCCAAATGACCTGATGCGCTGGTGACCCAGTGACCCGCTGTCATACCTGGTGAACGGATGCGATGCCCCGCTGTCGAGCCAGACGATCCAATGCCTGGTGACCAGGTGCCCACTGGCCTTGCCAGATGACGCGGTGCCCGCCTGTCGAGCCAAATGACCTTGATGCCTGGTGACCCCAGTGCCCGCTGTCCAGACGATCCAATGTCTGGACCGACCAGTGCCCGCGGTCATGCCAGTTGACCTCGGAGCCCACTGCCTTGCCAGATGACGCGGATGCCCCTGTCGCAAGCCCATGTGACCCGCTGTCCATGACCTGGTGACCCCAGTGCAGTGCACGCTGTCCAGCAGACGATCCAATGTCTGACCCAGGTGCCCGCGGTCTTACCTCAGTGTTGACTCGGAGCCCACACTGCCTTGCCAGATGACGCGGTGCCCGCTGTCGAGCCAAATGACCTGATGCCTGGTTCCCGAATCCCAGCTGCCCCGCTGTCATGCAGCCAGATCCTTTCATGTCTGACCTCAGTGCCCTGCTGGTCATACCAGTTGACTCGGTGCCCCTGCTCTTGCCAGATGACGATCGCTCGGTGCCCGCCTGTCTTGAGCCAAATGAAGCCTGATTGCCTGGTGACCCGATGCCCGCTGTGCAGTCAGACTAGACGACCTCTTACAATGTCTGCCCCCAGTGCCCTGCGGTCATACCAGTTGACTCGACGATGCCCCACTGTCTTGCCAGATGACGCGGTGCCCGCTGTATCGAGCCAAATGACCTGATGCCTGGTGTCCCCGATGCCCGCTGTACTAGAAGTCCAGACCATCAATGTCTGACCAGTGCCTGCGGTTCATACAGTTGTCGGATGAGGGCCCCACCTGTCGCTGTCTTGACTCGGCGGTGCCCGCCGCCCGACCTGGAGGGACCGATTGGACCTGTCGCTCCCGCCTTGGGGGCCGGGCGCCCGCACGCTCCGCCTCGGGGGCCCACGAGACCCTGTCGTCTCCCTGGGGGTCCGGCCACCTGTTCGCTTCGCCTGAGGGCCCGAGACCTGTCGCTCCGCCTGGGGGTCCGGCAGCCCGCCCGCTCCGCCTGAGGGCCCGAGACCTGTCGCTCTCACCTGGGGGTCCGGCGCCCGCCGCTCCGCCTGAGGGTCCCGAGAACCTGTCGCCTCCGCCTGGGGGTCGTGCCCGGCGCCCGCCCGCTCCGCCTGAGGGCCGAGACCTGTCGCCTCCATCCCTGGGGGTCCGGCGCCCGCCGCTCCGCTGAGGGCCCGGAGACCTGTCGCTCCACCTGGGGGTCCGGCGCCCGCACCGCTCCGCCTGAGGGCCCGAGAGACCTGTCGCTCCTCCTGGGGGTCCGGCGCCCGCCGCCGTGCTCCGCCTGAGGGCCCGAGACCTGTCGCTCCGCCTCTGGGGGTCCGGCGCCCGCCGCTCCGCCTGATGGGGGCCCGAGACCTGTCGCTCCGATCCTGCCTGGGGGTCCGGCGCCCGCCGCTCCGCCATGAGGGCCCGAAGACCTGTCGCTCCACCACGGGGGTCCCGATGCGCCCGCCGCTCCGCCTGAGGGCCCGAGATCCTGTCGCCTCCGCCCTGGGGGCCGGCGGGCCTGCTGCCACCCGCCTGGGGGCCCGAGACCTGTCGCCCCGCCTGGGGGGTCCGGTGCCCGCGCTCCGCCTGAGGGCCCGAGATGCCTGTCCGCTCCGAGGCCTGGGGGGTCCCGACGGCGCCCGTCCGCTCCGCCTGGGGGCCCGATGCCTGTGTGCTCCGCCTGGGGTATCCGGCGCCCGCCACTCCGCCTGAGGGGCCCGATGCCCGTCGCCCCGCCTGGGGTCCACTGTCCGCGGGGCCCGTCGCACCCGCCTTGGGGGGATGCATGTCGCCCCGAGTGCCTGGCCGCGCCCCGCCTGGGGGCCACGGTGACTGTCGCCCCGCCCGGGGGCCCGGTTGCTGCCTCGCTATACCTGGCCGCCCGGGGGCGCCCGGTGCCTGCCTGCCCCCGGGGGGCCCGGTGCCATTGTCCTGCCCGCCACGCCGGGGGCCCGGTGCCTGCTGCCCCGCCCGGGGGCCCGGTGCCTGTCTTGCCCCGCCCGGGGCCCGGTGCCTGCTGCTCCGCCCTGGGGGCCCTGGTGCCTGCGTTGCTCCGCCCGGGGGCCCGGTGCTTGCTCCGCCGGGGGCCGCCGGTGCCTGATGCTCCGCCTGGGGGCCCCGGTGCCTGCTGCTCTACGGCTCTGGGTGGCCCGGTGTGCCTGCTGCTGTCGCCTGGTGCCCGATGTGCCTCTGCCCGGTGTCCATGCCCGATTTGTGCCTCTGCCCGGAGCGTCCTGCCCGATGTGCCTCTGCCCGGAGTCCTGCCCGAATGTGCCTCTGCCCGATGTGCCTCTGCCCGATGTGCCTCTGCCCGATGTGCCTCTGCCCGTGATGTGCCTCTGCCCGATGTGGCCAATCTGCCCAAGAGTCCTGCCCGATGTGCCTCTAACACCGATGTGCCTCTGCCCGGAGTCCTGCCCGATGTGCCTCTGCCCGATGTGCTCCTGCCCAGATGTGCCTCTGCCCGAGTGCCTCTGCTCGATGTGCCGCTGCCCGGCTAGGTCCAAGCCCGGTGTGTTCCGCTGCGACCCGGACGTATAGTCCTGCCCGGTGTGCCAGTCTTTGCTATCCCGCCAGTTTGCCAGACCCGGGCGGTGGAACATTTTGCCCAGCTAGGACTGTTTGGAGCGTCCTGAGGCCGCAAGCTCCTTGAGAGGGGGGGGTACTGTTAGGAATGGACTGGCCAGCAATGGGGGGTTGTGGAACTCCCCGTGCCATTTTGATGGGACTGCACCTGCCTTTCATACCAGTACAGGGCTGGCCAGCGGGTGCTCCCACAGCAATCAGAGACTCAACCTTTCAGCCAGCTAAACACCTGGAACTGATGATACTGGGGTATTTAAGGGATGGCCAGACTTGCAGACTCTGCCTTGGTGTTGTGTTTGTCCTGGGCCCTGTATCTGTCCTGCATCCTGGTTTCTGTTCCTTTGCTTGACCCTGATCTGAACTGCTGATGACTTCTCCTGCTGACCCTTGTATCCTGGCTTGTGACCACTGTGACCCGGACCATACCCTCTGTCTGACCCTCTGTACCTCGCTGCTTGCTACCTGCTGAATCCTGGCCTGTGAACCCCGACCATTCTCTGCTTGCTCTCCCCGTATCCTAACCTGCCACAATTGATATTGACCCCGGCCTGCCTGACGACGCTTGCTTGTATGTACTGTTATCTGTGGGTGGTTGGTTTGGTTTGTTTGCACTGTATTATGTTTAGTATTGCACTGCGCTATTATGTTTGTATGGTTAGTGTTAATAAATTATATTGTTTATCACATTTCTGAATGTCTGTGCGTATCTCCCTGCATCAGTCACATCATCCTGGTCATACCTGGGAGCCTGACATGTAAGTTGAGGACTTTAGTTTTTTTTAGTTTTAAGAGTAAATGTTCGTTCTTTTAGCTTTAGAGTTAGAATTCCAGCCCATAACTCTATTACTCTAAAAACGCGTGCCTTCCTCCCTCTTGATCCCCTTTTCTACCTAACCTGTGTAAAAAAAATAATTTCTATAGCTTTCCTATTTTAGTCCCGCCCTGGTCACATGATCCCCCCGTGTCAGTGAGAGCGGTGGTCTGCAGGGGAAACAAAGGAGCACTTCACAGTGGCTGGGAATTCTGGGCCCATGACATCACTCCATAGGCCCCCATGTCCCAGCTGATTTTGTCAGTGCTTCCTCCTTTCCCCTTGCAGCCACGCAACTCGCTAACACAGGAGAATATCGACCAGCTGCAGAATCACTTGACCAGTTGGCGGGCTAAAAATAGGTAAGCACACGGTTGTGCTCAAAAGTTTGCCCATCCCCCTGGCAGAAATCATAAAATGTGGCATTGATAGGTGCGAAAATAGACTGATCATGCCAAAATCCCAATACATAACATCAGAACTCAGATCGGGCCCCAATGCATAGCACTCAGAAATCAGAATCGACCTACCCAATGCATACACTCAGTACCTCATATCAGCCCTCATAACATACACTCAGAACTCAGATCCAAACCTCCAAGTAAATACAGCTCAAAACTCAATCGGCCCAAATGCATACACTCAAAACTCAGATCGCGCCCCAATGCAATACACTCAACCTCAGATCGGCCCCAATGCATACACATCAGACCTCAGATCGGCCCCAATGCATACATACTCAGCTTACCTCAGATCGGCCCCAATCGCATACACTCCATACTCAGATCGTGGCCCCTATGGCATACACTCAGAACTCAGATCGGCCCCAATGCATACACTCAGAGCTCATGAATCAGCCCCTATTACATACACTCAGAACTCAGATCTGCCCCAGCATACCCTAAACTCAATCAGCCCAATACATACACTCAGAACTCAGATCTGCCCAATGCATACACTCAAAACTCAGATCAGCCCCAATAACATACATCTCAGAACCTCAGATCGGCCCCAATACAACACCTCAGACTCAGATCACCCAATGCATACACTCAACCTCAGATCGGGCCCCAATGGCATACACTCAGACCTCAGAATCGGCCACAATAATACACTCAGTAACTCTGATCAGCCCCAATTGCTATACAATAAGACCTCAGATCCGGACCAATGCATACACTCAGACCTCACAGTAGGCTCCCAATGGCATACACTCAGACCTCAGATCGGCCCCCCAAGTACATACACTTCTGAACTTCAGAATCGGCCCCAATGCATTACATCAGACTCAGATCGGCCACAAAAATGCATACACTCAGACCTCAGATCAGGGCACCCAATGCAGATACACTCAAAACCTCAGAATCCAGGCCACATGCATACAACTCAGAAACTCAGATCGGCCCCAATGATTCATCTCAGGCTCAGTTCGGCCCCAATACATTACAATCAGAAACTCAGATCGGCGCGTATGCAATACATACAATCAAGAAAATCAGATCTGCCCCATGCATCACTCAAAACGCTGATCAGCACACAATGCATACAATCAGATACCTCTGATCGGCCCTCAATGCATACACTTCAGAGCTCTCCAGGATAGGCCCCAATTACATACACTCAGAACTAGATCGGGTCCCCAATGCTTACACTCAGACCTCAGATCGGGCCCCCAATGCATACTCTCAGAATCAGATCCGGCCAAATACATTCAACTCAGAACTCAGATCGGCCCCAATGATATACACTCAGACCATCAGGATCGGCCCCCTTTACAATACACTCAGAACTTAAGATCGGCCCCAATGCATACCAACTCAAACAACTCAGATCGGCCCCAATGCAGGGGCAGGCTTGACAACTAATAGGGCACCCCGGGCAAGATAGGGGATCATGGCTGGCCCCCTGTCGTCCTCGCCCAAACTCAAAAATGCCTATGCAAAAAGGTACCGAGGTGCATCTATTGGGTGACCCCCTACTGAACCTGGGCCTAGTGGCAGTGCTGTGTTTCCATATATGGTCAGTCTGCCCCTGACCTAATGCATACATAAGAACTCAGATCAGCCCAATGCTACAATCAGACTCAGATCAGCCCCAAACGCATGCACTCAGACCTCCTGTTCAGCACCGATTGCATGCGCTCAGAACTCAGATCAGCCCCAAGCGCATGCCCCTCAGAACTCAGATCGGCTCCAATGCATACACTCAGAACTTCAGATCGGCCCCAATGCATACACTTCAGACCTCAGTTCGGTCCCCCGTTGCATACACATCAGAACTCAAGATCGGCCCACATAATGTATACACTCTGACTCTAGATCGGCCAAAATGCTACATCTCAGACCTCAGACAGCCCCAATGATACACTCAGACCTCCAGATCTGGCCCACGAATGCAAACACTACTCAGAACTTCAGATCTGCACCAATACATAACACACTCGAAAGTTCAGATCAATCCCAATGCATACATCAGGAAACTCAGATCAACCTATTGCATACCACTCTGGACTCAGGATCCGGGGCCGGGGGTTGGGCCCCAATACATACACTTCAGAACTTCAGATCGGCTCCTTAGGCATACACTCTGAACTCAGATCGGCCCCAATGCATACAATCAGAACTCGATCAGCCCCACTAAATACACTCAGAACTCAGATCAAGCCCAATGCATACACTCAGTAACTCAGATCGGCCCCTAATGCTTACACTCAGAACTCAGACTCTGCCCCAATGAACGGGCGGACTGACAACTAATGGGGCCCCCGGGCAATAGGGGATTATGGGGCCCCTGGTGTCCTTGCCCCCAACACTCAAAATAAGCCTATGCAATAAAGGTACCAGGGCATATCATTGGGGACCCGTCCTACTGAAACTGGGGCCCTCGGGCAGTGCCCGGAGTTTCCAAAAAGGCTCAGTCTCGCCATGCCCTAATGCATACACTCAGAACTCAGATCAGCCCCAAATGCATACACTCAGACCTCAGATCAGCCCTAAGCATGCACTCAGTACTCAGATCAGCCCAATCAGCATGCACTAAGCCTCAGATCAAGCCCCTAATGCATGCACTCAGTACTCAGAATGTGCAGCCCCAATGCATGCACTCAGAACTCAGATCAGCCCCAACGCATTGACACTCAGAATCAGATCAGCCACAATGCATACACTCATGAACTCAGATCAGCCCCAAACGCATCATCAGAACTCAGATCCGCCC